ACCGATCGGCACCCCATACACGCGATCCGCCGGCTCTAAAGCCGGCGGATCGCTTGTATGGTATCAGGCATCGCTGCCTGTTTTTAAAAAACGGCAATTTCCCGCTCACGCGCGCCGAGCGGCGCGCGCGAGGGGGCGTGTCTGAGCGGACGTCTAGAGACGCCCGCTCAGATCTAGAGAGCTCCGGGCCGGCCGTTTTTCTACTTCGGCCGGCCCGGAGGCAGTTAATAAGGAGTTGCGCTAATATGCGCAACATAAAAATTTTCAACTACCACCATTTTATTCTATAGGGTCTTGGCATTCAGAAAATATATAATGTTGGGGGGTTTTACGTCATTTTCAGGCCTAAAATGTGGAATATAACAAGGGTGCAAAAATGGAAAAAAGGGCCTCAGTCATGAAGGGGTTAAAGGACAACTTCACCAAAGATGGTGTGCTAGTTTATACATTAGCCTCCTTTTTTAATATACAGGAGACATGGCAATATACTCAGACTTTCCATATGTTTTATTTACACAGAGAACGGTCATGACGCAAAAGTGGTGGGTGAAATCTGCAAATGTTAGAAGTCACCACCAGTAAGTTGACTACATTGAAATTGTTATTTATTATTATTTTGAATTTTTCTTGTAAAACATAACTGTTAGATTGTAAACCTACTGGGGGAAAATGATCAAAACTGGAGCAGACAAAATCTAGAGCAGATTTGCACTGCAACCAATCAGCTTCTCTGTCTCATTTTCAAATCTTACCTCAGCAAACTGAAGAGAGATGCTGATTGGTTGCCATGGGCAACTGCTCCAGATTCTTCTGCTCCAGTTTTGATAAGTTCACCTCATTGTATTTGCAGATGAATTAGGAAAGTAAGTAATGTAAGAATTCTTTAGCTTGAGTTTATATATTTTATTTTTAGCCCATATTAACGGGAGGGTAACCTTTTATTTTAATCAAACCATACTGGTTTAAAGCCACAAAGCAATGCTTTAGATCTTTGCAGTATTTTAGGAAGCCCCCTGCACAATTGTGACCTGAACTCCATGGTCTTTAATGAAAACTCTGCCAGCAGGCTGACAGTTACTTAGAAGCTTTTCTATAAAGACCCTGGCGTCGGACTATCCATTTAATCAAAAGTCTTTTTTGTAGGATTATATATTCATTTAACATATTGTGTGCATGTTATTTACATGTAAAATACTCTTGTGTAGACAGCCAAAAGCCCTGAGACTGCTGGCGCAGCCTTCTTGGATGTGATATCATCAAACTCAGTGCTGCCACTGACGTGACACTCTATAGCAGGGGTAGGCGAACTTCAGGCCTCCAGCTGTGATGAAACTACAAGTCCCATGAGAGGGAAATGTGCACATATTGCAGAAATGTGTTTCTGATATCTCCTGTTCTAGTCAAACCAATAAACACCCTTTGGCCAGGTTTAAGGTCTAGCTGTGAGCAGGTGTTTAACAGCCAAATACACTTGTTCCTTAAAAGCCAGTTGCTGTCATGCTTGAATTCTTCCACGTCATGCAAAACAGTTAGTGTACATGCCAGGAATAATACTGCCCCCATTGTATCTCTTGGTTGCAATGCACAGCTGCTCCAGATTTTGTCTGCTCCGTTTTTGATTAATTCCCCCCAAACGAGTTTAGGTCTGCTGACATTCTTTGTTGAAAATGGTGGATTGTCTTTGTAGCTCCAGGTGAAGTCTGAAGTAACATCCCTTTTAGACTCAAATAATAGTTCACTGGCCCTCTTGTGACAAGAACTGGATTCTAACTACACCTATTAAAGGGACCACAAAAGGAGAATTTAGGTGTCTGCTTTCTAAACAAAGGGATATGCCATTTAAAAAAAATGAGAAAAATATAACAGAGGGACTTGCAGTATTTATAAAGCAGGGAATGTGGCATTCACCAAACATTTATTGCAGGTGAATCGGTCACTGTAATTTAAAATAAATGTGCCAAGAAGATGCACCTACTGTGACTAGTTGAAGTATAAATATGCTCCAGAGTGTTCATAGAATATTTTTTAGCTTGTATACTTCTTTTTTTCATATTAAATGTTTATTAAAGATTTTCAAAATATAACAAAAAACACACATACAATACAGTAAGCATACATTAAGACAATCACATTACATACGATATCCAAGGTAAGCTTGTATACTTCTTATGCACTTTTTTTAATGATACATATACCTTTTTCTTTGAAAACTAAATCAATTATGCACCTACATACTTCACTTTCTGCTCCATAATTTATACTGTTTTTCAGGTTTGTACTACACCGTGTCCTTGGGAGACCTTACGCTGACTGTTCCTTTGTTACAGCCCTATCCTATTTTCCAGGTATAGTGCCTACTTTGTGGTCGTTGATTCACAGATGAAGTTTAAAGTAAATCAAGAAATTACATCATACTAAATTTGGACTTCATCAAAGAAAACTTGCCAAGTCCTCCCCACACTCTGAAAATAACATATCTATACTAGGGATGCGTGGAAATTTTGGCCCCCTGAAACATATCGTCCGAAAATGCCACTTTTGGCAAAATACTGAAAGTTCCATCTTTTGGCCGAAATAGCGATGCATCCCTGCTTTCTCTTTTACTCCTCCCCGCTGTTCTTTGTCCCGGCGGGGAGGAGAGAAACTGTCACAGGAGGCCGAGTGGTGTGTGGAAGGAAAGCGCTATGAGTGGCCGCCGTCTCTCCTCCCACACTGCCGCTCTCCTAGTCCGTCACAGGAGGCTGAGCGGTGCGGGACAAACAAATCGCCGCTCTCCTGATCTGTCCCATGAGGCTGAGCTCTCCTCCCGCACAGCCCCACTCTGCCTCCTGTGACATGTCAGGAGAGCGGTGTGGGGACAGAGACACCTGTCAGCTGTCAAAGGAGGCCGGGCCAGCGGTGCAGGGAGGAGTCAGCTGTTACAGGAGACCGAGCTCAAGCCTCCTGTGACAGCTGTCAGGAAGGAGAGCAATTACAAACACTCAGTCTAATTATCGCTGAGTGTTTGTAAATAATTGAGTACATAGTATGTTTACTATATCCCCAATTATGAATGAATGGGAAGTGATCTACATATCTTATGATTGTGGACATTGTAAACATAATTTCTGTTTTAAAAGGGAAATACCATGGGTCTGTTTAGACCCCTAATATTTTCCTGAAGCCTCCAACAGTAAAGTGAAAAAATAAAAATAAATTTTAAAAGCATTAAAAAGTTTATAAAAAATGAATAAAAATAAAATATTAAATTTGAAAAGGTTAGAAAAATGTTTTTTTCGGTTTTGGCCTGACTTTTTTTTTTTTTTCTTCTTCATTTCGGTTTTGAAATTCTCATTTTGGTGCACCTCCTAATCTATACCGTAAACATTATCTGGGCTATTCACAAAAGGGTGAAGGGTTTGGAGAAGGCCGGAGAAGTGAACAATCTAGGACAACATAGCTGAACTGGAAAGTGAGCTGAATTGGAGAATTTTTCCAAATCAGTTATTAGATTGACACAGTTTAATTAGGATAATAAAGCCAAAATACGAAAAAAAAAATAAAAAAAAAAAATAATAATCCTGAAGGCAGGGTGCTGCCTCCAGGGGCCTGTTGGGGTCACACGCCTGCTGGGGGGGGGCACTTATTTTTTTCTTGTCACGTGTGCAAAAGGAGCTGGCTACTGCTATGATCTCGCGGTGCTTGTGCGGCTGGCGGCTGAATGTGTGCAACGTCCGCCACACGAGCACTGCGGGAGGATAAGTCACCCGTGCCTCTAGAACGCACTGGAATGCGCTCAGGGGCGTGGGGTTGTTCCGCAGCCATGTCCCCCGCCCGCAGTTTGATCGCCCGCACATTAGTGCCTACATTCCGGTCCAGTGTGATCTGCAAAAATAGTGCTTGCAGCATTTTTGCAGATCGCACTGGACCGGAAAGCAGGCACTGATGTGCCTGGGTTCCAGGTGCAGGCGATCGCACTCTGGGTGAGGGGCCTGGCTGCAGTGCCATTGACTTCAATGCACCGCCACGACCCCTCCCGCCCCTGAACGCAGGTGTTTTTTTGTTGGTAGATCTCATTGAGCTCGTCATTTGACAAGTAGATCTCCAGACAAAAAATTGTGGGCGCCCCTGAGCTATGTTGTCCTAGATTGTTCACATCTCCTGCCTTCTCCGAACGTTTCACCCTTTTATTAAATAACCCTGTAACAAGTGTGCATAAATAAAGTCCAAAAAACATATGCTGTGACCAGAAAAAAAACACAGCCTTTTTGATGAAAGCAATACAAGTTTCTACATAGAATATAATACAAAGTATCTTCTTCATATCCTATTGGTGTCTATTGTACTTCAGAAACGCCTCCTTGTGAACTCACACGTATGGGGCACAGAAAGCAGTGCTGTGCCCCATACATGTGCTCAGGATACACTCTCCAGAGATAAATAACCCCTTTTATGTTTTTGGGTCAAATACGCTTGGTTTGCTAAATCCTCAGTGTCATTGGTTTCAGTTTCCTCCAGTCTTGTTTTTCACCGTGTGTTTTCATGTTTACCAGTATTTGATTTCACTACACAGGGATGTTTGCAAACAGCACAAAATGTATCATAATAAGTTGTTGCCTGAGTTTAATTCAGGATTCTAATTCCCACAGACTATTTCCAACGTATTCTCTGCAACGAAAGACTCCCATTTATATGTAAAAGCTCAAACATCTCCCTGCTGGAAATGGAGACATCAAAACCAAACAATTTCACTGGAAGTTGCCCCACAAACTGGACTGCATATGAAAACAAGGTAAAGTGAAATATTAAAACGGCTTATATACCTGTTATATATTATGTAACTATGTATTTAGCCATTTATAAACACACTCTTCCATCTCAGCTTCTATAAAAATGCTCAGGGTCAGATGGGAGCAGAGACGTCACTCCCTCCATATGCCAGCGATCAGGCCATAGGCGTTTAGCTGCCAGAACTGACACATGGGAGGAGCTCACATGCTACCCTGTACCTGAAAGCACCAGGTATGTTCCGCTAGAGGTAGAGGCAGGGTCAGCAAGGGATCATTGTCGAGGTGAGTTCAGGGATCAGGGAGTCCCTTTTACACAGACCTTGTCACTTTGCCCTGAATGGGCATAGTGAGTGAATTTTTAACCACTTGAGTCCCAGCTGCTGTTTTTAAAAAGCTGTTGGGATAGCAGCTATTTGTTCCAGCGCCATTTTAAATAGTCAGCCATTCTCATAGGCTCCTGCAATCTCCTGCCAGCACATGTGGGGTCCAGAGTTAAGCCCGGGAGCTGAAACGATATCTATATGTTTATCCTAAATGTGAATAACAATATTGCCTCCCAGGATTAATTCTCAGATCCCAACAATGATATTGGATGGGATAATCTGGATGACATTTGTGTTCACTGTGTAAGCATCAAATGCTCACATAATTGAGTGCAATGTCATTTGAATTTTTGACAATCACAAACGTGTAAAAAAAAAAAAAGTCCCCATCCTGCTAAATTTGTTCTGTCCTGACTTAATCTTATTTTATTGTAATGTTAACAATTTTTACACAAGCTTTTTCTTTTCCCCTGCGTGCATTGCAATGTAGCATTGAAAGGGATATAAAGCTCTCCTAAAGTAAAACTCATATGTTCCATTTGTTCCAGGTTTACTATTCCGCTAAATTACATAAAGCCCCACTAATGTGATAACATTTTAATCGGCGGATTATATTGTTGATGATATTTTTGCTAATTATATAACCCCCCCCCCCCCTTCTCTTTTTTACTATTGTACAATACGTTTATATACATGTTCTAGTGTTGTATAACATGTATGGATCGCAATCTTTTCACAGTGCTTTTTAAAAGTCAATCCAGTATATGTGAAGTTCTCTTCTGCAAATGAGCTCTGCATAAAATATGGCGGAACGCTTCCGACAATTTCAAGCCAAAGTGACCAAGGTAAATTGTTCTTGTTACTTACTTCTGTCTTTGATGTATCTCCTGTTAAGAGACACTTATTTCCTGCCCCATTGTGTCTGCTTTGTGCCTCCATTACTCTTGACGCAATCCACATAATGCGACTGTTTCTCTGTATATGGCTATCTCTAAACTTGCTGAGGAAATGTCTGTATTTTATTGAGAAAACTATATAAAGGTTTTGGTAAAAAAACAACAACTTTATCCTATGATGTATTGGGCAGCAGGACCTCAAATCATCTCTGAATTGGTGCTGACACTGGCCTTCCCTTTGGAGGGGGGCTACTTTTTTATTCCCTATGGTCCCTGTGTATTTTATAGTAGCCACCTCTCCAAGCTCACTCCTGTGATAGACTACAATCTCATGTTTAGTTTACTAATTTGTATTGAAATTATAGTCTATCACGGGAGCGAGCTTATAGTGGTGGCTACTATAAAATACACACAGGAACCATAGGGAACAAAAGTAGCCACCCTCCAGAAAGGAGGAGAGTGTCAGCAGCAATTCAGAGATGATTTGAGTATCTACAGCCAAGTGATGCACACACTACATTTTTGTTAATAAGGTACTTGGATGCATTTTTAAGGTTTAACGCCTGAGTTTAGGGTCTGGTTTAGTACCTGGCTGCCTTTTGGGGATAAAGCCATTCTCTGAAATCTGCTCGTTTTCCCATATCTGCATCTCAAGTCCTGATCCTGACACTCTTCCAGCAGCCAGCACTCCACTCTGCCTCTTGGCATCCTCATGTGCAGTGTAGGACTATTGTTCTTGCATTGTACTTGATGATTTCTCGGGGTCGGTTGTTTAGCGTGGGGGGATCCTGCAGGAAGGAGGGATGTGGTAGGTAACTGTTCTTTTTACAAGTACCCAAGTACCATAGGCATAAATGAGCATTTAACCCTTGCAGTGCAGTGGGAGCCCCACTGCAATGGAGATATATATATATATATATATACACACACACGCTATAATTTCGCTCTGAAGTTGCTAGGGGGCCAGACCATTATAAATAGGGAAGCAGGTTGTTTACCACGACAGTAGAAGTGATTTTTTTTTTCTGAAGATATGGGTAAAC